AGCCATCCCTTATTTGTTTGGTTCAAAGTTGGCCAATTCTCCTCCCCTACTATTAACTGATTCTCGAAGGGTCTTTGAAAGATGGATTTGAAGTGATCTACAATCCTACAGGCAATCTCCTCTTGAGAGGTTATCTCCACACCATCAACCTCAAGCTTTAGTATCAAATTTTTCCTCCTCCCATTAGCCAAAGCATGAAAGAATTTGGTATTCYCATCCCCTTCCTTGATCCACTTATGTCTGGATTTTTGTCTCCAAGAGATCTCCTCCCTCAACAAAGTCTCCTCTAACTCCTTTTTCAGTTTCCTCCTCATTTCTTTGTCTTGCTCATCCATCATCCCTTGGGATTCTTTTGCATCTAACTCCTCAATCTGAACCAATAATCTAGCTTTTACTTTCTCCACTCTTCCAAATTGATCCTTATTCCATTCTTTTATTTTGCCTCTCAACATTTTTAATTTTTTTTGTGGAATCTAACTCCATCCCATTTCACTTCTCTCATCTCTTCACTCCACCATTCCTTAACCTTAAGGCAAGAAGTCCGGGTGTGTTAGCCACATATTTTCAAACCTGAATGGTCTATGTTCATTACCAAGAGGTTCTTGTCCTACTTCTATAGGGTAGTGATTAGAGGTTATCCTAGGTAGGGCCTTAGCCACGAAACCTCTCCAGTGGCTCTCCCAACCATCATTAAATATGAATCTATCAAGCTTTCAGCAGGTTGGGTTTTCTTGGAAGTTGGACCAAGTGTGGGTAGCTTGTAGTAAAGGAAGCTTCCGTAACTCACAGGAATTGATGAAGTCATTGAACTTCCTCATACTAGTTGTAATGGCTTGCCTAGGATTATTTGATCATTTGTGAATCTTATTGCATTAAAAGCCCCCTAGATACCAAGGACCTTCCTACAAACCTTGAATTCCATGAAGCTCTTCCCATAACTCATTCCTCTCTCTGTGATTATTTGGACCATACTCATTTGTTAGCACCCAAATAAATCCATCTTCCACCATTCTGAATTTAGGGATACAGTGAAGTTTCCTATTAGCTCCTCTACTAGTTCTACGAAGTCCTCCCTCCACAAAGTTACTATTCCCCCCGAGGCTCCCCATGACGGAGCTGAGCACCATCTTACCCCTCTCGCCTTTTTTTTGTAGTTTTTCTTTGAAACTGGTTCAAAGGGGGTTGGTTTAAGGCCCGTCTACCCCTTGAACTAGGCCCAGTCCTTGAAACACCCCCTGTAAAGGTGTATCGGGAAGCCATTGATACGGTACGTGTTGGTCGTTTTGACCCGATTCGTATTAAAATTTTGAACCTTGGATGTATTGGGAGGTATAGGGCTTAGCTAGTTTCCAAGTGTTTATACATGTGCATGGAATTATGTTTTCAAAATGACCTTAGTGAGAGTTCTGTTGTCCTTGGTAGTGAGTTGTGACTTATGAGTTATGATTAGCTGTTATGTCAGTTTGATGTTAAGAATGCCTTCTTAAATGGGGTCGTAATTGAAGAGGTTTATATGTCACTCCCTCTAGGCATGTATGGTAATGAAATGTAGGGCAATGTGTGCAAATTGAAAAAATCCCTTTATGGCTTCAAGCAATCCCTTTGAACTTTGTTTGATAGATTTTGGGTTGCACTTATTGAGTTTGGCTACACTTAGACACATTCTTTCCATGCCCTGTTTGTTAAGAGGAGAGGTACTCTAGTTACCTTATTGTTTATGTTGATGATATCATCGTTACAGTGAGTGATACAAAGGAAATTCAGGCGCTCAAGAACTTCCTTAATTTAGAATTTAAAAGTAAGGATTTAGGGGAGTTGAGATATTTATTAGGAATTGAAGTCATCCATAAGCTATCACCTGTATCTTTGTATGACGCAGCCATAGTTTTCAAGGCACCAAAACAAGGCTAAGTGATAGGGGAGCGCCTTGTCAGCTAGTCGCCTAAGCAATGGATATTTTTTTTTTTAAGTAAAAAGACATTCTTGGGTAGTTCCGTAGAAACATATTTCTTTAATAATCATCCATAATTTTTATAAGAAAAGTATAAACTTCATGTTAAAATATAGTAAAGCAACATATTCCAACATATTCATGAGAAAAAAAGAAAAAAGAAAAGAAAATTAAAAAATATATAGGGACTGGACCCCTATTTTTATTATAGGAAAAGAAGAAAAGAAAAGGTGGAAGAAGAGGGAGAAGAAGAAAATGTGTTGATTAGACAACACTTTAAGTTCTTCCTTATTGGTTTAGGTTTTGAAGTCTTTGAGGTTTCAATGCAACATTTTGTGTTGATTAAACCCTAACAAATAAGAAAATAATAAAAAGAAATTAGTAAATAAACACAGAAAAAATACTTTAGTTTAGTAATGTCTATTTTATAATTATAACCTCAAAAAATAAGAATATAAAAGTATTTTATAACACACTGTTCAAAACTGCGTGGCAATTACACGAGGCAACCCTCCAAGGGTGCCTTGTGGCCTAGGCGTCGCCTTGACAACTATGGACACATATGGCTACTGTGGAACAAGTTTTTTGTTATTTGAAGGGAATTTTGGGAAAAGGTATTCTCTTCATTAGGCATGGACACATGAAGCTAGAGGTTTATATAGATGCCGATTGGGAAGGTAGTATTGATGATAGAAGATCTACATCTGGTGGTAGGAAATATTGTCTCTTGTTAAAGTAAGTAGTTTGTGGTAGTTAGATCTTTAGTTGGGGTAGAATATAGGGCTATGGCCCATGGAGTTTCAAAGTTGTTATGATAAGCCCTTAATGTTGTATTGTGATAACCAAGTTGCAATTAGCATATAGCTCACAATCTGACTCAGCATGATAAGACAACACACTGGAGTAGATAGGCATTTTATAAGAGAAAGAGTGGCATTCAGAGAAGTTTGTCTTGCTTTCATTGTCTCATAGTTATAGTACTATGTAAGCAAGTTGGGCAAGTGGGCTTGATTGAATCTATGCTTAGTTTGAGGGGGGTGTAGAGATGATGAGCCAAATGGGCCATAGTTCTTATTCTTATTTAATTTTGTTTATGTTTTTTGTTTGTTATTAGTGGGCCTTAGTTATGGGCCTGTTGGGACCCACAAAAGTCTCACACAAGTCCATAAGGGTTTGACCCCACCTATGGAAGAGGTTAGGTTGAATCCACTGCTCAGGGGCAGTGAACCCCTGACCCGATAAGCTTGGGCTCAGTTTGGGCCCAACATTTAAACATAAATGATCATTGGATTCAACTATCCAATGAAAACCCAAGGATAATGGACTTATGTTAGATAAAACCCATAAGGTAATCAACCCTATAATGGCCTCTTACACCTAGTAGGTGATTGACATCGGTGCTAGGAACATCACACCATTTTTTGAGAAAAATGGTGCTGGGCATGTGGAGTTGTGTGCTTATTTTTTTTTTTGGGAATTGGTGCTGCCACATAGTCGTTTTTTGAGAAAACAACACTGGTTTTGTTTGGTACCAGTGCTGGCATCAACGTTTTCAACATTGATCTATATTATCCAACGTCCAAGATGATGCCACATTGATGCCATGTCATTGCATCATTGGCAGCAACGCACTGTTTTCCTAGAAACATTGAATTTGGTGTTGCTTCAGACCACACTTTCCCAATTTCTATGGCGTGATCTGGAGCAACGTTTTTTCTGGAAAAACTATACCTAACAAGAGGGTGTTGTTTGAAGCACCGTTTTCTTTGATGTGGTGCCTATGTAGCACCATTTTCTTAGAAAACGATATTGATGAATGCTAGAATGTTTCAAGAGAAGGAAAGGAGCAGCCAGGAATTGAAGGACTGTGTGTTGAATAGAGCAATACTTTGGATGAATTGAATTTAAACTCCCTTGGATGTGAATAATCAACCTATTCATAGGTGTTCCACAAACCATGAGTGAGACCTAGTGGTATGTCATGGCTACCCTACCATCTTGATTTAGTAGTTTGAACCTTTTCATCTCTAGTTATCATACAGCCAAATCATTTTACCATACTATGTCCCAAGAGAGAAAAGGGTCATGGAGAATAAATCAAACCCTACTGGTTCAGTCATGTCTCATTGAACTCTTTCCCTTCACCATTCTGCCTTGGTCAAGGACTTCCCAAGTCTTACCAATTTCAGGTGCATAAGGCATTCTCTCTCTTCATGGATAGTGATAGATTCCTTGTGCATTCACATACCACCATGCATAAGACACTACAACTGACATGTGCATGTTTAAGTCCCTCGGTTAGGGCATAAGTATTTGCACCATCAAATCATAATGCCTCGTACACAAGATATCCATGATGCCTCTGGTTGCAGGATTATTTGTATGACTGGGATGTTAGAAACAAATATTGACTAATGATTCCATGCAAGTATTCTATTAGGAGTCATGTTCAGTGAACCTGCTCTCTAACAGGCACCCAATGTCTCCACACAAGTGATGAGATTCATCACCCCATAAGGCAAGCATAATTTGTGCCAATCTATCTGAACTATCAAAGCCCTCTTGACAGTTCTATGACTATGAACTGTTTTAGGATCTTTGTACGAAGAGAAAACATATCTGGAAGATTTTTGGATCTTAAGTTGGCTTGAAAGTAAGAAATCAAGAGACAGTAGATCTAAAGAATAGAAGTCCATGATTGATTCAGTGGGCCTTAAGAAAGTGGTCAACCAGACAGTGGTCATGGCAACGTGATCAATCCCATATGTGCAATCTTGGTTTACATCTCTTTGCCATGGCTTCTACCTGGTTAATCACTTTATTCTGCATTTGCATAGAGTAACTGCATATGACAGTGGCTGTATCTTGTATTTTTCCTCGTGCTGGTTTGATGATAATCCGATTACATACTTGTACCGATTTATTGTTGCCAAAATAGAGTTGTCATTTTAGGTTGTGGGTAGCGAGTACAACATTTTAACTTGCAGTATTTTCCATTTGTTGGATGCATCTCCAAATCCCTTCTAAATGTTTTTTTTTTTACTCCTAGGCCATTTTTAAGCCTCCAAAGGCGATAAGGGGTGGTATTCCAATATGCTTTCCTCAGGTATGCTTTCCCTGCATTTACTTCTTTTGTTGCTTTGTTTTGATTTTTTTGGTCTTGCTTCTGTGAAATTGCTCTGCAATGCAGTTTGCAAGTCATGGATCTCTTGAACAACATGGATTTGCAAGGAACAGGTTTTGGACTATTGACAACGATCCACCTCCTTTTCCAACAAATAGCTCTAACAAGGCTTTTGTTGATCTGATCCTTAGGCCATCTGAAGAAGATATGAAGATCTGGCCTCACAGGTATACATATACTTAACTAATAATATAGAAATCTTGTCAGATTTAGTTTTAGGCTTACATTTGTGGTTGTATTTTTCTGCTTACTGCTTTATGAATCCTCTTTCCTTATGGCTGAAGTATAAATGTGTTCTCTGGTCTTTTGCAGTTATGAGTTTCGTCTAAGGGTAACACTAGGATCTGGAGGGGATTTAATGTTGACATCCCGCATCAGAAATACCAATACTGATGGAAAATCATTTTCATTCACATTTGCTTATCATACCTATTTTTCTGTGTCTGATATCAGGTACAATCACAAACTTTGGCTTGTGTACACATTTTGAGTTGGCACTCGAATGACAATTCCAGAATTTCTCGATTGCAATATTCCTGTCCTTTGTAAATGTTTTATGCTACTTAAATTCCTAAGCAAAACTCATATATCATAGAATTCTCTACAATGTTGTACAAGTATGACTCTTTTGTAGGAGGCTGTGCAATATTACAAGGTTGGCAATTGATGTTGGGATTTTGGTGCAAACAATAAATTCATTGCTCCTGTTTTTTTGGTGGAGGTGGCCCCACTTGAAATATGTTTTAATGCTGCTGCTTGTGTACTATAATGCCAGATCACTATTTTGGAGCCTAGTTAGGTGTGAAATTCTCCTATCCCCTTGTGAAATCTGCCCTTTAATTGCCAGCTGCTGTTGGTCTGCCTAGTGCCTCTACTGGGCAACGGTGTGACCTTACCTTACCCATCAAACCAAGGAAGGTGTTTTTTTTTTATTTTTTTTATTTTTTTATCAGTAACAGCAAGGAAGGTGTTCTTCTAAAGGTGATTTAATTATAATGGGCATTGGATTACCCTTGTTTCTAAGTTAATGCAAGCAACAGAGGTGCTTCAGTGCTGGGTGGAAAGGGTATATATTTTTTCTTTGCTTCTGTTTTTGTTTTTTTTTGTGTGTGTGTTGGTAGGGTGCTTGCAGTCATGAGTCTAACATGGAAGGGTTCTAAGAAGCAGCAGTGCTGCTGAAAGTTAACCCTCGGCAGTGGTGGTTCTGGCTATTGCTCTTGAAGAGCAAGGGACTGCAAATCTGAGGGATGGTTATTTGATGGTCTGCAGTTCCCATTTCCAGAATTGATATTTGGTCTGATGGTCTGATGACACGGGCTCTTCTCACTATAACATGGCATCAGAGATGTTATAGATCTTGAATCCTCTCTTTCTGGGCCTTGTTGTATGGATGGTAATACTGTACTGTCAGTAGAAGGGGGAGACAAGAAAAAGTTGTCAGCAGGTGATTTGCCTATTGGATTCTTGGCATGGAGCGAGGTTAATAAAATTTGTTGCTAAGGCTCAGTTTGGAAGGAGTACAAATACAAATTTGTAGAGTGCAAAACCTTATATTTTGTATGTATTTGCACTGTACATATTTGTATTTGTACTCTTTCCAAACTGAGCCTAAATGCTGACTCTGCAGATCCTTGCATTCTTTGAATAATATTTCATATATAGTAATGAATTGTTTTAACTACTGTTCTGTGTAGTTTTGAGCTAAATGCTGACTGTGCAGATCCTTACATTCTTTCAGTAATATTTATGTATAGTAATGAATTGTTTTAACTGCTGTTCTCTGTGGTGTTTTGTCATTCTTTTGTATGTGTAGAGTGCATCAGATTTGCATATTTCCAAGTATTTGTATAGATTGTGTTAATGCTTACCAACTGTATATGAGGATAATTTACTAGGAGATATTGCTGTTCTCAGGCAATCTATATTACCATTATATATAACCTTCCAGTTTGCAGTAGTTAAGTATGCAACTATTAGGCAAACTAAGGTCAACTTTGCTTTCCTTTAGTTTATATAGCTTAAAAATGACGTTAACTCATTTTTATTACTGTCAACTTCCCGAGCTCCTATTGTAGTTAGATTAGAGATGCTATAACATTTACTGAACAAGGAGACACTTGATTGTTTTGTTACTGTCAACATCCCAAGCCATTAACTTAAATTGTTTTAGTTCAGTGAAGTGCGGGTAGAAGGATTGGAGACACTTGATTATCTGGACAATCTAAAGGAAAAGCAACGGTTTACTGAACAAGGTGATGCGATAACATTTGAATTTGAAGTAAGTATTTGTTTATGTAGTTGAATTAAGAACTCTTTTATTTATTTTTCACCATAGAACTTAAAGTTATGATTAATGTCTTGTTGGGAAAAGGTGGACAAAATTTATCTAAGCACACCAACAAAGATTGCAATTCTGGACCATGAAAAGAAGAGAACGTTTGTTCTGCGAAAAGATGGACTTCCAGATGCTGGTGAGTTCTATTATGTTCATCTGCTTCTATGAGTTACATGTTCCTTGAATTCAGAGCTTGAGGACCAGGCATCTTAAAAGGCAACCTATGCTAGTTTAGAAGGATGATCTTGCCATGGATTATTGCAATTATTATGCATGAATTTTTTGTGGGGTCTGTGGGGATTACCAGGCAATCTACATTAGAACATCCTGAATGTTAGCCTGGTTGGGTTATTGCAGAAATATGAAGCCCGGACAGGTCTGCCCTGGCTAATTCACAAAACCTGGACCAGGGCTGCCCCCCTGCAGGTAGATTCATCCATAGATGTATGTTATCAGTGTTCAGAATAGGAGAGCATTTAGTTTATTTGGTTAAAAACTGAACCACATAAACCAAAATTTTAAGAACCGAACTTGTAAAACAGAAAACAAACTGAAACTGAATTTTGGTTAAAACTAAATTTCATTAATATTATCTTAGATATTTTATATTAATAATTAAATTTAGTTAATTCGGGCTTTTTTGATTAATTGAATTTCCAAACCTGAAAACCAAAACAGAAGTTTTGTAAAACCAAAACAACAGATCCGAAAAAACCAAAAAACAAAAATAACTGATCCGAAAACACCAAAACTGAAAATTTCTGTTTGGTTTTTCGGTTTTAACCGAACAATGCACATCCCTAGTTCAGATGGCCCAATTACCTGGCATTGTTTATTTGAACTATTTTGGGTAACAATGTAACAAACATTTGCCAATGACAATTATATTTGTATTGTTCAATGCAAAAATGTAAAGAAAAAATATGATTTTTCTGTCTTTTCTTGCTGGTGTTTGGATTATATCCTGTTTATGATTAGATTGCCTTGGTCTGGCTACCTTTCTGTTTATCTCCCCTTCTTCAGTAGAGGCAAATGTTTTGTTCGGAAGTGTTCTATTTATGAACAGAACAGAAGTGTTCTGTTCCACCACACTACGTGTGAATGTTATCTTACCCAGATGGGTCAACTTTGATGCTGGTTTCCATTTAAAAACAGAAAATTTGGGACCAAGAAAAGGATGATTTTTTTGACATGGTATATTAGATTACGATCATTTTATCCACTGGTTTAAAACTTCAGTAAATTCACTTGGGACTTGGAATTTGGGTTCAACTATGATGCTGGAAAGATTTTCCGTCGGTTACGATCATTTTATCCAGTTTTTGAACATGGTATATTAGGTTACGATCATTTTATCCACTGGTTTAACCAATCAACCAGCATCATAAAAGTGGTAACTAATCAAATGGGTTTTCATCAAAAATCATGGGGGTTTTGATTGGCCAAATCCTTTCCTATATCACATCTTTCCTTTCCGGCATCATAGATTTTCCGTCGGTTTTCTTTTGCACAAAAAAAAAAAGTCATGTCAGCAAAACCAATATAATTTTGCTGATGTGGCAGTTTTTGTTTTCAGAAACAAAACCAATGATGTTTTCGAACACCGCCTTTAATTTCCTAGAGTGTTGGTACTGAATTCCCTTCTTCTGCAGTGGTGTGGAATCCCTGGGATAGGAAGGCAAAGGCCATGGCCGACTTTGGGGATGATGAATACAAGCATATGCTATGTGTGGAGGCTGCAGCTGTTGAGAAACCCATCACGCTGAAACCTGGGGAAGAGTGGAGAGGAAGGCAGGAACTTTCTGCTGTTCCTTCTAGTTATTGCAGTGGTCAATTGGATCCTCAGAGGGTACTTCTAGGCAGCTGAAGGATCAAACGACTCTGGTGCATATCTGTACAGGTACTAATCTGAGCCTACAAGGTCAATACCTCCAGTTTTTGAACCTATGAGCATTAATTGAGTTGAAATGTAGCATTAACTCGTATCACAGACACCAGAACTACATTATAAAAACAGCCAAATCTTCTTCTGATATTGCCATCCCTAAAACGTTTACTAAAATTTGTCTGGAATTTTGCAGGAACTTTTGCTTTCTGGGGTCGCTTCCTGATGAATTCTGAGTTTTTATCTTTTTTTTTTTTAATTTTTTTGCTGTCGGTGAAATCATTAACCAGAACTTTCTAGCTAATAATGATGCTTTCCATGAGTACTGTTTGGTCACATGTCAAAAGTGAATGTTATGCTTCTTTTGTACATCTTTTAGGATTGAGTACATAAATCTTGGGGACTGGGGAGGATTGTGGAGGCTTTTATCTTGGATCGGTCATCGATGTTTAGGGGCCGGGATTTCCTTACTCAAGACCTTCTAAGGCCTTTGGCCCAAACCTGGTCAATAGTTCAATCAGCTATGATATATGAACAGATTGATGGATGTGTTAACGTCTCCGTCGATATATTGTTTGTGTTCTACTTCAATGTTACCAGTGGTCCTAGACTCCTAGTCAATCATATACAACACTATCCCAAAAACTTGGTTGTAAGTTGATAAGCATCGCAATATGCATGAATGTTGTACAAAGATATGCACACTTGGGAATTCCCGCAAATTCTGCAAATACATTACTAAAAAACCAGGATTGTAAATGTGTTAGTTTTGCCCGACTACCCAAGCCGAACTGAATTCAATTGGTTCTGATTTCATGATTCTATTTTGATTAATAATTTGGTCCTTGTCCCAAACTGATTATTTTATTAAATGGATATAGCGTTTACCTAAATTGTAAATTTGATAGATAATGCATATGCATATGATAATATTAACATATGTTTTAACATATAAACAATGCAGTATTTTCCCATCATTTTTAAATTATTATTCAAATAATTATAATTTTCAGAATAATCAGGCCTATCCGGTGAGATTTGACAGGACCCGATTATTAGTTGGGATTATTATGGGTTTGCTTTTGCCCCGATGAATAATCAGTTCTGGTTCTACCTATAAGACCCAAAGACATCCCCAACTAAATGTACTTTTTTATATGGCATGCTAAATCTATGGTTGTGAAAATGCATATGTTAAATATGGTGGATGACCTTGATGATTTTATTTTATTGATCGAATACACCCAATCGTTGAATTGATCACTCCCTCTTGAAGATGGAAATATGGGATCCCAGAATCAATCGTAGGTTTTTGAATCATTGAACCTTGTGCTATCTGCTCTATTCCCCCTTTGTAAGCCTTTATAACGTATGCTGCTTCTTGCAAGCGCTATCATTGCCTTGTAACTTTAATGAAAGTCTTGAGTCCCATTGGCTCCCAAGTGCTTGATTTATCTCTCAATATTAAAGATTGTTTTTTGGTCTCCAAGTTTAAAAGCCCATTTTGACATGTTCATGTCAAACATGCATGGTTCGGGTGTAAGAACTTGTTGGATGTTTCTCGAATTTATCCGTCATTCTGCAAAATGTAATTTTCTCATCGACAAAAATCATTTTTTTTTTCTTTTCCATATCTATTTTCAAATCATGCATCTCAGAAAATTTTAAGGAATTGGTCAGCAAAAGAATTTTTAATTCCTCGGTTGTAGGGATGACTTTAGTCCTAGATAGCTACACAAATGTTCTGGGTGAGAGATTTCATTTCAAAAACTCATTCAAGAAGATCCAAAGGTTGGCCCTTGTGACTTGTGAGATACTAAAATCTTTCTGTCAATAGCCAAATGCGTTAGCCAACTATCCAAATATACTATAGAAGGGCATCATTTCCTATCATCATCATTTTTCTTATTTAATTATCATATAGTCTTGAAAAGGTTTTTTGATTAGCATTATTTTGAAATCGAGAAAGCTATTTCATCCCATTTCTGCAAAATAATGGATTGTTTCCTTAAACTTTGATTTGGATTACAAAGAGGAAAATCTATAAACACCCCATTTTGCACTTTTTAATCTTTTTCTTTTTCTCTACAACACAAATATACAAGAAATGCTTCAGCCAACCTCTCAGTCAACCTAAGGATATTTTGGAACTTTTGCTAAATTTGAATACCAAATTAACCCAATCAAATTAACTAATGCATAGAGCCTAAAATTCCAAACCTAACAATACTAAGATTGCCCAAACACGACACTGTTCACCCCTTTATCTTAAGACCTAGAGCTAGAACCGATCCTTACCTTGGTTTGGAATCTTTTTGATCCCAAGCCTAGCACCAGAAACCCAACTTAAAAAAATATGTAAAACCTAAAATTCTGAATCAAGCAGTACGAAAATTACCTAAACCTGACAGTGTTAACCTCTTTCTTTTAAGACTTAGAGTCGACCACAACCCTCGGATTTGGATTCTTTTTGATCCCAAGCCTAACGTCACAAATCTGACTTAATAGATATGTAGAGCATGAAATTTTGAATCCAATGATACCAATATGGGCCATATGGCCCACAGCTGGCACTATTTATCCCTCCACTTTATTACCTAGAGCAAGAATCGATCCCAACCCTTGGGACAAATGTATAGACCTTGAAATTTTGAATACAACGATACCATGATTGCCCAAACCCAAAGAGCCAAAACTGATCTTGACCATTGGTTTGGAATCTTTTTGATCTTAAGCCTATTATTGCAAAATCTACTTGATAGATACATAGAGCCTGAGATTGTGAATCCAACAATACAACGATTGCCTAAACCAAACATTGTTCACCCTATCGTTTTATGACCTAGAGCCAGAACTGATCCCAGCCCTAGTTGGAATCTTTTTAATCAAAAGCCTAATGTTACAAATTTGACTTGACAGATACGTGGACCTTGGGATGCTGAATACAAATATGATTACCCAAAACTAACACCATTTAACCCAATGCCCTAAGACCCAATGCGAAGAATGATTTTGATCGTATGTTTGGAATCACTTCAATCCTCAACCATATTTCACATTAAGACAGAAATCCGAAACCGTAAGTATGTAGAGCCTGAAATTATAATTCCAATGATACAAAAATCACTCAAATCCAATACAATTTATCCACCCATCTTGAGACCCAAACTCAAACCATTCTTGGTCAATCGTAACATTAATTAGCATCCCCCATATAATGGCATAGTTGTAATTTTGTCATCCTTCAAAAATTAGGTGACTTATGCTACGAATGAGATTAAATCATTGATAGGTCCCAGTCAAAGCTAGAGTGAGAGTATTCTGCTTAGGGTGAGAATAAGACCACAAGATTTTATTAACTTCCAACTGCCCTCCTACGTTGGATGGGTGGTATACAAGAAAATTCTCAACTTCCTTCCACTAACATAGCCACTAATTAAGGGATTAGCTTCTCTAGTAGTTAGCCTATCCCTAAGCCATAGGAACATAACTACTTAACTACTAATAACTTGAGCTATTCATAAGTAATAACTACTTAACCAAATTGACTACTTCCTAAGGCCAACACCTTAGCTTTATTGACCTATTCCTACATACAGGTTATAAGGAAATAGAACAGAAATAAACTAACAAGAAAATGAAGAGAAAAGGGAGGAAATCTGCTGCTCTTCTCCCTATGCCACGTCACACACCTGCATGGGCCATGCTATCATTGCCCCTGTCTTTCAGAGGGACCTTGTCCTCAAGGTCCAATTTGATGTATCTGTTCCATAGCTCGTCGAAGGTTGGTGTGCGCTCCCTCTTCATCATCTGTCTCACTTTCGTCATAATTTCCTTCAAGCAACAGCAACTGCGGCCTTTTGCATTTGTGCCCTGGTACAAATTTCTCATCGCAATTAAAACAAAGGCCTTGAGCACGCCTCCTTTGCATCTCCATCCAAGTGAGTCGTTTCATTGGTGAAACAGACTTCAGTTTCGTTGGAGAAGAGTCGATAGTGGTCCTATTGAATGGACATGTAGCCTTCTCTTGACGGTTTAGCTGTTCATCTCTCATCCTAGCTAAACTGATGGCTTCCTTCAAGGATTTTGGCTTAAACATCCGAATCCCATCTACTATTTCAATTTTAAGACCTCCCATAAAGGTGCCTACCAATGCCTTTTGAGTCCACCCTTGTACCCGATTTCCCAGTCGTTCGAACTCTTTTTGATAATCACGTAAGGAGCCCACCTATGTAATCTTTGACAATGCTTCGTCAAAGTCTTCACATTTGGTAGGACCAAATCTTGCCCAAAGTTCCTCTTGAAAAATTTTCCATGTCACCTCTTTGCCTTCTTCCTTATAGGATCTTCTCAACCATTGCCACCATTGATTAGCCTCGCCTTCCAAATGGAAAGAAGCTAAGGACACCTTGTGAGATTCAAGAGTGCTTTGGTATTCAAAAAATTGATCTACTCTTGTGAACCATTCGGTGGGGTCATCTCCTGCAAATCGAGGAAACTCCAATTTGACTAGTTTGGAAGATAACAATTGTCGTCCCACTTTGGAGTTGTCTCGAGATTCTTCTCTCATGTTGTGAGAACGCTCGGTAGGAGAGTTTGCCTTAAATTTGAGGCTGTTGGTAGTCGATGCAACACGGTTGGAGAGTAGAGCTTTCGATAATTTGTTGATAGCATCTTCTAACTGATGAAACTTATCAGCTACTCCCGCCTCCATACGACTAAAGCTATCTTGGAGTCCTCCAAGTCCAACCTCTAAGCTCTCAATTCTCTCCTTGTTAGTAGCCATGATGCCTAGCTCTGATACCAATGATAGGTCCCAGTCAAAGCTAGAGTGATAGAGTATTCTGCTTAGGGTGAGAATAAGACCACAAGATTTTATTAACTTCCAACT